TCATTAGAGATTCATCTTTTATAATACCTTAATCTCAACGTGGATGTTCTGTCTTTAATCGAACCTAAGAGAGAATTAGTCAAGATGCATATAAATTGATCCAAACACCTCGAATCGTTAAACAAAAAAAAATGAAATCTTGGTTTGGACTATGAGACGTAGCAATTACAAATTATGGAACCTTGCTAAAAATGAGGTCTAAAATTCAGACTTTAATTACTTTAGATTTGAGCAGGTTTTAGTTGGGAGTTGGGGACAGTTTTTTTAAGTGTTATAAATGTTGTGTCATAAATGCAGGAGTTTAGACCAGATTAGGTTCCCTTTTTTAAAAAAAAAAAAAATAAGTTTCGTATTAAAGTTATGTGCCCTTTCTTATGTGATGGAATTATTTAATTGAGTCAAACATACTAATGACATTCTTATTTATTATATTGATTATAGGTGGTTAAACAATCCATGTTTCTTATTGTATGAGATTGGGGACTTTTTTATACTCTTTATCTTCTCATTACTTATTTCAGCATTTGCGAATTGCTTCCTATTTGGTAACTAATTACTTTTTTTTTTCTTGGTTCAGGCTAACCTCAAGGATGCCAAGATTCGATCTAATTACTAAATCTCATTGTATTAATTTTAGTCTTAATAAATAAAGAAAGAACCCCCCCCCCCTTTTTTAGACACTATTACAAAAAAAAATAAAACGATAATGTTCAAATTCGTGATTTTAAAGTCTAATAGTAGGGACGGTGGCTATTAAGCCAACCACTAAAATTGACTTTACAGAATTAAAATCCAATGTTCTAAGTTTTTGGAATAACTTTTGGTCCTCCATCGAGAACAAAAAGAGGATAAAAAATAAAGAGTAAAAGATGTAACATTACAATAATATTGTTGTTATTAATTTCGCTTTTACACATTTAAAAATTTATTTTATTATAGCAATGCTGCAACTACACATATTTAAAAATTGACTTAATAATATACTCCATCCGTTCCTAAATACCTGTCGTTTTACATAATTTTTTTGTTTCATAATATCTGTCATTTTATGAAACTAAAGTATAATAAATATTTTTTTTTTCCAAATTTATCTTTATCCCTATTTTTCAATAAGTGTTTAATAAATTAAATGTAGGTTAAGTGTGTTTCATATTCCTTTTCTTCTCAATACGTATTGAATAAGAGTATTTTAGTCTTGTGTAATTATTTTTTACTCATATTAGAGCTATTTAATAGCTTTCTTAATTCCTGTGTAAAAACTTTAAACGACAGATATTTAGGAACGGAGAGAGTAATTGTTATATTTATCATTCATTTAATTATGTGTCCCAATATTTATTGGAATACACTATCTATTTAATGATAGTAATTCATCAATCAAGTTTTTAAATAAATTTTTTAAGTTTATTAATTTTTTTTATTATTATGATAATATCAATTTTTTTATTCTTATTTTTAATTATATTTTTTTGTCTAGTATTATTTAAAAAATATTATTTTTAAATATATAAGCCATTAAATGTTGACCACGTCTAAGGTGTTTTTTAAAAAGAAAGGAAAAATATGAAAGTGGACATAACAATTTAAAAGTCATTTAATTGTCTGCCGGCTGTCCCGTTTCTGGGGGTGATAAGATTGATACTAGAAATTAGAGGTAACAAAAAAAATTTACTAACAAATTATTTACTAAAATTTTATATTCACGAATTTTTTTTAAAATTTTAACAGCTCAAATTTTAATAAATTTTATATAGAAAAATTACTTGAGGTTATGTAGGGGCATTTTTGGTATTTTAGTTAATTTTTTTTTTGAAGGGGTGTCATTAAAAATAGATGATAGGGACTCTAAGGAGTTGATGTCATTTCTTGCTATTCTTAACAATTCCTTGTTGAATCTAGAGTTAAGTGATCAAAGAAATGGATCCTTGAACCTTCAGGTATATTTTCTAGTAAATCCTTCCTAGCTTCTTTGATGGAAGAATCTTCTTATCCTATCTTTAATCCTACCTTGATGATTTGGAAGGCTAAAATACTTATTAAGGTGCAAGTTTTTGCATGAATTATTGCACATAAAAAGATTAATAGCCCAGCTATGCTTCAGAAAAGAAGACATAATAGTTGTATATCCCTCAATGGTATGTGATGTGTAAGGGTTAAGTTGAGAGCATTGATTATTTATTCCTTCGTTACTCTATTGCTTTGTCTTTGTGGTAAAAGTTGTTTAGTTTGGCTGGTTTGACTTTTTGTTAATCCTAAATCATCTACTTCGTTGTCTATTGAAGACTTGAATGGATTTGGAAGGCTTCCTAGAGGAGTGACTCTGCGGAAATGAGCAACTCTTGCTATTTTTTTTGGGTTATATGGAAGAAAAGGAATGTAATATATTTTAAAGATCGAAGTGAAATGTTAGATGGGATGTGGAACCATATTCATTTCATCGCTTCATTTTGGGCCCTAGTTTTCAAGGAGTTCAAAGACATTCCATTTTTTGTTATTTTGGCAGATTGGATAGCTTTATGTAATTTAGAGTTTTGATGTGTTTTTTCTTTTTGTATTTTATTTTTTCTTGGTTGGATTTCTTATTCAACCTTGTTGATGTACTATCCATATTTTATTAATATATTTCAGCTATGTTTCCTCTCAAAATAAATAAATTCAATCTTTCCATTGTTGTGCTACATGGAATAAAAGGGGTCATATATAACTGGAATGTTGTGCAATCCCAGATAGTACCTAAGGAGAGATTTTAATGATATAATTTATGTAAATGTATAATTCAATTGAACAAGGATAACCAGAAATATGTGATCTTAATGACTTCGTTAGGAATGCCAAATTGAAGGGCCCACCTTTGAACAATGCAATGTTTTATTTCTGTCCTAATAAAGCATGTTTATGTGTTCAATTTGTGTAAGATAGTTTGGATAGGTTCTCACTTCTACTAGAATGGCAGTGGAGTTTTCCAAATGAGATATCTGAAACAAGGGAATTTCAATTTTCCAATACTGTTCCGATTCTTTTTCTGCCGAAACCGAAATGTTTAAGTCGAAAGAAAGAAACGAAATTTTGGTCATTGTCCAATTACTCTAGACTCAAGTGCCTTAAATTGGGGCCAAATTCCCTTTACATATTAAATAATGTGATTGGACTGCTAGAGCATAACTTGTTTAAGACATATTCGACATGTGATGACAAGAAAGTGGTGTGCAAGGTTGGGGAGGTTTTATAAGCCTAAAGGTAGATGAGGTAAAAAAGGATAATATAGTCATCATTTCAAAGGGTGCCTAGTGGAAGGAGGAATAATTTGATAATTTAGTTGGAAACCTAAGATGGTTTAGTTTAGGGGATGTAAGTCGAATTAACACAAAAATCATTAGTTTTTTTAGAAAAGCTTTATGCAAGTAAAGATCTCGAGAGACCAAGGTTAGGAGGTCTAGATTTGTTTCCTATCACTGAAAGTAAAGCAAGTTGATCATAAAAATCATTTGAAGAGCTCGAGGTGAGTGCAATTGCGTTGGGTGTCGACGACTTCAAGAGTTTCTAATGGGGTTTTCCGAAGTGGCATGTTGTTTAAAGTCAATATAATTGCGACTTACATTAGTTTGATTCAAAAGAAATACAAGTTTGTGAAGATTAATTATTGTAGGCCCACTATTTGATTTCTAATCTTTAGCACATTACAGCAAATGTTTTATCAATAAGACTGAGGAGTTTGGGGTAATAATACAGAAATATCAGGGAGTTTTTATGAAGAGCAAGCAAATTTTAAATGTAACCTTCGTGGAAAATGAAGTAGTGGAGCAATAAAAGCTAAATGGCGAGGGAATTGTTTCATAATTAATTTGGAAAAGCATGTGATCATATGGATTGGTATTTTTTAGATTTTATTTTCACAGTGGAAGGTTTTGGGTAACATATGGAGGAGGAGGATTACAGAATATTTGAGTCCTATGAATTCTTCGGTTATCCTTACTAATAAGCCGGGAGAGAGACTCAACATATCTAGGAATCTGAACAGGGAAATCCATAATCACCTTTTCCCTTTACTTTGTTAATGGAGGTTTTCACTAGATTAGTGGTAAGGGGAATGATTGTCATGCAGTTGAAGAACTTTGGAACGGACAAAATGGTGTGTCCACTTACGGTACACTGATAATACAATTTTCCAATTAAGGTATGAGCAAAAGTTTCAAAATTTTGTGGATATTATTGAGGTATTAGTTTATTGTTGAGCTTAAAAGTAAATACATCTTTGAGTTTAACAAGGTCAGGAAATAGACTAGACGGCCAGATGGGAGAATGACCTTCGAAAAGCTTGGGTCTTCCGTTGGGCAGAATCCTTTGCCGTTGAGCATCTGGGATCCAGTTCTAGAGAAGGTGCAAAATTTTTACAATGGTAAGAGAAGGGAACTTTTATCCTAGGGAAGGGGGGCTTACTCTAGTGCAGTCTATTATGGCTAACATTCCATTTTTCTTTTGCCCCTTTTTAGGTTTCGTAAAAAGATAGCATAAATGATTGAGAAGATGACAAGGGATTTTTCACAAGAAGGGAGTGTTTCCGCTTGAACGTATGGGTTGTGCAATGATACAGAGGTGCTAAAAAAAAATCACGGTCATTAGTTGGAATCCATGCAGTAATTGATTTCTCTTTGTTCATGTATTTAATATTTAACAATTAGGTCTAAATAGTATTGTTAGATCGCTGCTGTTTTGCCCTTTTAACATGTTACCACCAAACATATTTTCATGTATATGGATGTATTTCAAGTGCGGCTTGTGGGACAAATTTGCTGAAGTTTTGTTTTGCAAAAAAGCTAGTATTGATTGAGGAGATCAATTTAATAATGACTAAAACTTGTTAAATAGACATCTCAAATTTTAATATATAGTATAATGCAAGGATATAATGTTACCTTCAACTGGACTGGATACATGGTTCATTGCTTGCCCGTTTTGTCCTGCCTCTTCTGAAAGAGGGGATCCAGAGTGGTTGCTGTCCCCCAGCTTTGAAGTGCTTCCAACCACCTTGTCCTGCTGCTCAGGAATATCAGGAGAAGGATCAGCAGGCAAGAAGCATGTTTCTTCCTGGGACATATCCGAATCACTGAAAGCAGAATCCTTCTCCACCGTCACAATATCAATTTCATCGTCTTCATGGACATCTGATTCTTTTACCTGCAAGAGTGCACACATTTTAGAAACAAGAAAATGAACAAAGGAAGACCTACCCAGCAAGCTTTATTCTTTTCACCTTTTCAGTTTCAGTTATCAGATCAAATTCGTCTTCTCGTTCTACATACTCTTCGTTTTCCTCAAGTTCCTTAAAATCCGGAGCAAATGCACTCCAATTCTCAGTATAATCTTTGGCCCAAATATAAACCAATCCAGCTAGTGAAACAGATACGACAATAGGGTGTACAGGATGCCATGCTAAATCTATCAAGGCTTCCTTTGGACCTTCAAGAATTTTCACAAGATGTCCAGCCCTATCCCATATGTAGATCTTATGCTCTCCTTTGCTAGCAGAACCACCAATTACCCACTCACAGTCACCACTAAAACACGGCGCTTTCCAATGCATCTTGGTGATGGAGTCTTGAAACTCCCGGAAGAGTGCTAAGCACTTAGATCCAACAGCTTTTAATTTCTCTACCCCATCTAGCTCATCTGATGTATCGTTTGATTCGTTAAGAGCTTTGAGTCCATGTTTCAAAGGCAGAAGGTTCTCATAGATCCTAATTGTACGGTCGTTTGAGTTTGTAAGAAGATACTGCCCATTC